ACATTCCGACCTGATTATGCTCGATGGCAAGGGAAATTACAATGTTTCCTACTATTATAACGCAGCCTCAGACAAATTGGAGTTTATGGTGCAAGTGAGAACCACAGGTTGGGTTGGTTTCGGTGTTGCTGAAGTGGCTCCAAATATGATGAAGTACTACGATGTGGCAATAGGAGGAGTATCAGATAACGGAACGAGCTATTTTCAGGTAAGTTGAACTGGCAAATTTTACCAGCGATAATAACTAACATACGCGAAAAACATTACTCACTTCTGATTGGCAGAAAACGAGTGCATTTGTCATGTAACGCCAGTGCAAAGTTGTAACACGAGCGCAAATAACAAATGGCGCGCCCGCGTTGTAAAAATGTTGTCTGTCGACTTTCTGTGATGCTTTTTTACGTCAATTACTAACAGGTAACAACATGATTTCTCATGTAATTTGGTGTGAAAAAGCACTTGTGAATTTTTCAAAGACTACAAATTGCACTCGCCCGTTGTTACTTTAAGAAATTTACTTGTGCTTATTAACACCAATTTGCACTCGAAATCATGTTATTAGTATAGGTAATCATATGAATTCGAGTGCAATTTGGAACAAATAAGCACGAGTAAATTTTTTCAAAGACCAACAAAATTGCATGAGCCCGTAGAGCGAGTGCAATTTGTGGTCTTTGAAAAAATTTACAAGTGCTTATTTATTCCAAATTGCATGAGAAAATTATGTGATTATCTATTGATAATATACATGAAAAAATACGAGGTAGCTTCTCATAACTACGCAGAAGAAAAGCGCGCGCATCAGGTGCAAAATAATTTATTCAGTCCCTGCGAGTGACATTGACCTTGACTTTGACCTTGACATTGACCTTGACATTGACATTGACCAATCATTCTGACCAATCAGAAGATCTGGTTTGTTTCTTTCTCTGCACTGAATTAACCCTCTTTTGCACTGAATTAACTCTCTTCTGCACTGAATTAACTGAAAACTGCATTCATCTGAACCAATCAGAACTGAGAAATTTTTTCTTGTATATTACTACATATAGTTACTGCATTGATTGATAACATACCTAGACTTGATTTCTTCCAGGACTATCTTACAGTTGGCCGCATGCAACCCCGACTAGATACCCAACAAGACTGGATGCTCATGAACGCAAGTGAAGAGAACAATGTGACGACGTTGAAATTTTACCGCATGCGAAACACCACTGACCTTCAAAATGATACCGCTATTCCGGTAAGAGTCCAACCAGTTTTAATCACCAACGATGATAGTGTTATTCATAGGAGTGACAGGAAGGTTAAGAGAACAGTTCCATATTTGCTCATCAAACTGTTCGAAGATCCTATCAACCTGCTTTTTTTATCAGATCACTTTCAATCACTACTGGAAATAGTGTAATTCATAGTCATAAAAAGAAGTTTGAAAAACACTTTTATATTCCCTTACAAATGGATCCTGGCTTTTCATGCTATTCCAGGTTTGCCGACCGCAATGTTACCAGCTCTCAGTGTACCAACGAAATGGTGCAAAGACTAAAAAGCGAAGGTTAAAAGAACAATTTCATATTTGCTCATCAAACTGTTCGGAGATACTATCATCCTGTCTTTTCATGCCGTCCCAGGTTTGCCGAGTGCAGTGTTTTCAAGTCTTAGTGTACCAACAAAATGGTACAAACACTGAAAAGTAATGTAAGGCGAGAATATTAGCAAACATAGTCAGTATCGTAATCTTTCGAAATATCACTACCAAGGAAACCACAACACTCCTTGTGGATTCAGTCTCTGTCATGAGTGTGAAGGGTTTAATCTATGATATGTTACCATAGTTTTTCCAGCTCAAAGGGATTGAGAATATTACTGGTCCACCTGCTCAAACCTCTTTCAGACACATTTATGAAATCGGGTGTCAAAAACCGGCTTCCATTCATTTATACATATTAAGGCAAAATAGATATAAGTCTTATTTGATCTCGCTGCAATGCTTCATAATAGGAACGAGACAAGTAAATTAGATCACAGTAGATTGTCCTTTTCCTGAAAAATAAATATTTCAATTATTTCTTCTATTACTTCCATAAAGATAGCCTGCCCAAATCAGTATATTGGTTTTTATTTATTTATTCCAGAAAGGAATGCCAATTTATATCGTATGGGCATATCATCCCATGAGCGACAACCTTCAAAATCATGGCAATCAATACAGAGGGTTTTACAACGTCACCCTCATCCCGGTTATCACTCCAACGCCGACAATAATGATGGCACCATCCACAGCTGTAGTCCAGCCAGTGCTACATTCCGACCTGATTATGCTCGATGGCAAGGGAAATTACAATGTTTCCTACTATTATAACGCAGCCTCAGACAAATTGGAGTTTATGGTGCAAGTGAGAACCACAGGTTGGGTTGGTTTCGGTGTTGCTGAAGTGGCTCCAAATATGATGAACTACTATGATGTGGCAATAGGAGGAGTATCAAATAACGGAACGAGCTATTTTCAGGTAAGTTGAACTGGTAAATTTTACCAACGATGTAACATACACGAAAAAACATTACTCACTTCTTATTGGCAGAAAACGAGATTAACAGTGCATTTTTCATCTAACGCCAGCGCAAAGTTGTAAAACGAGGGCAGACAACAAATAGCGCGCCTGCGCTGTAAAACTTTTGTTTGTCGACTTTCTGTGATGCTTTCTTCATGTCAATCAATCACAAGTAACAATATGATTTGTCGTACAATTTGGCGTGAGTAGGCACTTGTAAATTTTTCGAAGACTACAAATTGCACTGATTCGCCCTTTGTTGTCTTTGAAAAATTTACTTGTGCTTATTAACACCAAATTGCACTCGAAATCATGCTATTACATATAGTTACTGCATTGAAATGATAACATCCCTTGACTTGATTTCTTCCAGGACTATCTTACTGTTGGCCACGTGCAACCCCGACTGGATACCCAACAAGACTGGATGCTCATGAACGCCAGCGAAGAGAACAACGTGACGACGTTAAAATTTTACCGCATGCGAAACACTACTGACCTTCAAAATGATACCGCTATTCCGGTAAGAGTCCAACCAATTCTAATCACCAAAGATGATAGTGTTATTGATGGGAGTAACAGGAAGATTACGAGAACAATTCATATTAGCTCATCAAACTACTCCAAGATCCTATCAACCGGCTTTTTTATCAAATCACTTTCAATCAGCACTGGAAATTGTGTCATTGGGTCGTAAAAGGAGGTTTAAAAAACACTTTCATATTACCTTATCAATGTATACAAAGATCCTGGCTTTTCATGCTATTCTAGGTTTGCCGATGGCAATGTTCCCATTTCTCAATGTACAAACGAAATGGTGCAAACACTAAAAAGCGATGGTTAAAAAACAATTTCATATTCGCTCATCAAACTGCTCGGAGATCCTACCATCCTGTCTTTTCATGCTATCCTAGCTATGCCGACACAGTGCTTTCAGGTCTCAGAGTACCAACAAAATGGTACAAACACCGAAAGGTAATGTAAGGCGAGAATATTAGCAAACATAGCCTTTATATCCATCTTTCGAAGTATCACTACCAAGGAAACCACAACACTCCTTGAGGATTCAGTCTCTGTCGCGGGTGTGAAGAGTCTAATCTATAGTTTGTTCCCCTGGTTTTTGCAGCACAAAGTGATAGAGAATATTATAAGTACTCCTGGCCAAACCTCTTTCAGACACATTTATATAATTGTGTGTCAGAGAATGGCTTTCATTCATTTATACATATTTAAGCAAAATAGAGATAAGTCTTATTTGATCTCCCTGCAATGCTTCATAATAAGAACGAGACAAGTAAATTAGATCACAGTAGATTGTCCTTTTCCTGAAAAATAAATATTTCAATTATTTCTTCTATTACTTCCATAAAGATAGCCTGCCCAAATCAGTATATTG